TCTTCTTAGGCAAATTAATTTTTAAATAGACTTTTAATGGAATTTTATTTCATTTTACCCCCTCATCCCTTCTTAAGTGATTTTTTTATGTTGTGTTTTATATTTATTGAGAATTTGGCACTATTTTTATTTCAATATTCTTTGTAGAAAAATTGATTTTTTAATGAATTTTTAAAGAATTTTTATTTCAGGTTACCCCTTCATCCTCTCTCTAAACACTTATTTGTTTCTATAAAATTTATTAGTAATTTTATTTCAATACACTGTTTTCTTCACAGAAAAATACATTTCGATGCCCTTGGTAATTCGGGTGTTTCCGGTAAACGGGCTGCTGGAAAGTGGCTGCTAACTTCACACCGGTACTTTTTGAACACCCTATATTTTATAAAAGTTGAGATTAAAAATTATTCCTCAAGCAATTTGTTACAGAAAAGGGACTCTTGGTTGATCTCTGTATAACATTCCATTTTCGAGATTTTAGTCCTACTCAAACATGAAATCTATGTACATTATCGATTGAAATTTTGGAAAAGTAATCCAGTTAACAACAATCAAGAATCAGTTGAGGATGATTAATTGTAAAAACTGTAAAACTTTCCCAAAATTCATTTAAACTACCTAGGTTTTTTTCATGTAGAATTACTATAAAAACTATATTTTTTTTTAAGTTGTGGAGTTCCATTTGTTATTTTTTATAGTTCAAATAAATCACATTATATTAATCACATTTTTAGGGTTCCGTACCCCATGGGTAACCAACATGACCCTATTATTAAGCCTCCACTGTCCGTCCGTCTGTCAGCGGGCTGTATTTCATGATCCGTAATAGGTAGATAGTTGAAATTTTCACGGAATGTGTATTTCTGTTGTCTCATTAAAGGGGCTCTCCTACTAGAAGCGTGTTTTTTGTAGTGGTGCCCGCGAGAGTCTCGTTTTCGAGAGTCTCGCATGGTCTCGTCTCGTTTTCGAGACAAGACTCGAGACGAGACTCGGACAAGACGAGACGAGACTTTTATTGGTCTCGTCTCAAGTCTCGTGCAAGACTTCTCGTGTCTCGTGCGAGACTTGAGAATTTCATTCATAATACAACATATTTTGAAATAATTTAGATTATTTCCCTTGTTTTATATTAACCAATAAAATGGCACTATTTTTAAAATTCAGACCAATCGGATTCAATTATCAGCGACTATTTCACTAGACCAAATATCAGCGACTATTTCCCTAGAGAAATAGTCATTGAAACGTCACTTAAAAATGTCAAATGCTTCTGTCAGTTTTTGCTCATGCAGTTCTGTCACAATTTAATAAATTATAATAAAATGGAAAGATTCGGTGTTTTTGATAAAAACTCTATAGAAAAAGCTGTAAAATCTTTGGTACCTACGAATACGGTACGAAGTAAAAATAGTATCTGGGCTCAATTTACCCAATTTTGTACGGTGCGCAACTATACATTAGATGCACATACATCAGAAGGTGAGTTAAACAATATTTTGAAAGACTGGGCGTGGAACATGAAGAAAACCAATGGAGAAGAATATAAAGAATACACATTAAAATGTATGTGGAATTCCACAGCTAAAAGTTTGCAAGAATTATATTTTAATGAACATGGTATTTCTATCGATCCCTTTCAAGGTATTACGTTTAAAAGCGCAAGAGACGCCCGTAACGCCAAAAGGCGCGAATTACAAAAGCTCCCCGAAAAACGAAAACAGAGCTCAACAGCTTTAGACATGGCCGAATTTTACTCAATAATTGATAAATTTGATGAAGAAACACCCAACGGCTTACAAAAAAAGTTTTACTTTATAGCATCTGTAGAGTTGGCATGGCGAGGAGGTGAAGGAGCAATGTGTTTAACGGATCATTTCAAAATAGAATTAAAAACGGATGGAACTGAATCTGGAAGAATAGAGTACAATCCAGTTTTTACGAAAACATGTCAAGGTGGCAGCAAAAAATGTGCCGAAAGCAAGTGGCTTGTTACTAATACCAATAATCCTCGCAGGTGTCCAGTAAGGTTATACAAAACATTAATATCTAAACGAGGCCCAAACATTACGTCCAACCGATTATTTTTAACAACAAATAAATTTTGGTTTAAAGATAAGTTTGTCCAGTGGTATAAAAATCAACCAGTCGGTAAAAATGAGTTGTCAAAATGGACAAAAATAGGAGCAGAATCGATCGGTGTGAATACCAAAAAAGTAAAAATTTCCAATCATTCGTGCCGCTCAACTGCCGTTTCACAATTAGCCAAATCTGGAGTTTCTGAACAAGAATTAATCAAAATCACGGGACACGGAAGTTCTTCGTCAATCAAGCCTTATTTACAAATGGATGCACAGCACCACCAAAATATTATAAATAAAATGAGAAGTTCTGATGAAAATACTGTAAATGTAGCAACATCATCTAATTATGTTATGAATCAAGCAAATTCCGCACCTTCAGGATCAAAAGAAGAACGACTGCAGAAAAGTCAATATTTAAACAATCAAACAGGCGCGACCTATAATAATTGTGTTTTCAACTTTAATTAATATTTGATTTAATGTTCGATTACTTTAGTTGTATTCCTGATGTTTGTGTTTTGTTAATAAAGTTTTTCTAATTTACTTATCCAAAATTTATTTTCGCGGGAAATAATCTTCCCAAATATAACACGACCTTGATTAATACTCTGCTATTTTTGTTGTTGCTAAATTTCTTGAATGTTTTACAATTTGATTCGACATCATTTTGGCATTAATAATCAATTGACTAAAGCCCTCGAGCTAAAGCTCTCGGGCTTTAATCAGATTATTAATGCCGCAATTATGTCTCATCAAATTGATATTAAAATATTCTCGAAATTTAGACGCAACAAAAATAGCCGACTATTTATCAAGGTCTTGGTATATTACCCTTGACTATTTAGTACAGATAGATAAAACATTTCATTCATAAATACTTTAAAACCACAATCCATGATTGTTGTAAAACGACGTAATGCGTGGAACGAAAACGGACTGTTCTCTCTCTTACGGCGGTGGAACATAAAGGCAATACTGCAATAACGACAGATCGAAAATTGGATGACTACCTGAAAATCTATAAATAAGTCATTCTTTCTTAAATAAGTAAAATAATGTTGGATTAAAGTTTTTGTTTTGTTTATTTGTTTAGAATATACGTGTTACTTTTTATTTTATTTTTATAACTTTCGAATATATAATGCTGTTTTTTTTTCTTGTTTAGATGCATGATGTAAGTATGTACCTATTAGGTACTTACTTTTCAATAAATAATGTTATTTTTGTTGTAATTTTCTCTTCCTACTTCTACATTATACCTAAAAAGTAGGTAAAGGTAAATATCCCGTACTAGACTGGAACAAGATTATGCATGACGAAATTGAGATACATTTGCGAGACTCTCGTACGAGACGCGAGACGAGACGAGACTCGAGGCTGCGAGACGAGACTCGAGACAAGACTTCATATTTCATCGGAGAGATGAGACGAGACTTTATGAAAGTCTCGTCTCATTGGTCTCGTGTGAATCACTAGTTTTTTGACTTAATAAAGTATTTAAAAAGTACCTACATAGTAGTAAATATTGTATGATGGTGCAGAACCCTTCATGCGTGAGTTCAACTCGCAGTTTTTAATAAATCTGTATAAATAAGAATATTTTATTAAAAACGTTGCCAACAAAAAAATTATTTCAATAAATCATCTAGTTACGCATCCTTGAATATCGAGAAAGCATGAACAATGCATCACATTTTTGAAAAACCAGGATGGCCTAGAAAAAAACAGAAAAATCGATTGTTTTTACGTTCAAGTATTAAACAGATACGGCCATTCGAATTAAAACGGCAGTATATTGATTTTTAGTTTTTGTGTTCTGTAATAGGTGAACACTGACAATATGCATTTTGTTATTATTTGTGAGTGAGTGAGATGAATAATTTATCGGTTAAAATTAAAAACAAAACTTTGACAAACCATCTAAGGACAAACCTTTTTGGCTTGTCAAGTTTTGTTCAATCAGAACCGGCTTTTTAAAGATTCTCGTTCTTAAAATGCTATTTGCACAAACTATCCAATTATAAATAAATGAATTCCAATAAAAATTATATAATTTAAAATTATCTATGTTTAGCAATGGATATATAATATTTCATTTTAAGTATTATATTAGATATTAATGTGATAATAAAAAAGAAAACAGTTGATTAACGAAAAAATATTTCATTATGGATATTCTAAATACCTAAGTTATTTTCAGAATACTGTTCTAAGGTAGATTAATTCTTACTTTATTAGAGAAAGTTGAACAAATAAAATATGTCATTGTTTACAGAGATAACTGTAGAAATAAGCAAGAACTTAGGAGTACATAGGCTGTCAGTTTTCTTTCGATAACTAAACTAATTCGATTTTATATAAACATGAATTAAATCTATATAATTAACTGAAAATGTGATCAATTTTCTCAGTGTATTGTCTACAAATGGATTAAGTGTGAATAAGTATAAAAAAGTAGATCGGACAAACGAGAAAAATAAAATGGAACAAAACTCACTTCCTCTTGTTACTGAAAAATAAAATAATTATTCACTAGTTGAGAATCTCATCAACAGCTGATAACACAATTCCTAAACTTCTAACTACTAATCTATGATCGCTTTTCAGGCTAAGTTTTCTGCAAAATCACGGTAAATATTTGACAGTACAAAAAACGTATAACTTTTAACTTTAATGCAATTAGATACTACTCTTTCATTTAGAACTCTTGTTACGTAATATGGGATAATGTGCTTACTTTTTAATATTAAATAATATTGAATGATTATTTTTATTCACTGACTCACTCAGTTCGAAACAATCGAATAATATTAAATAGATGCAAGCAGATTTTTATTACCTTGGTAGGTAATAAAAATCTGGTATAAAATGGTTGAATGACTAATTTATTTGAATACTATTATTGTCATATTGTTTTAGGTGGGAGGATCAACCAACTTCGCCAGAAAAGGGGATTTCAGAAAACTACAAATCAATAGAATGGAATAAAATGCGTGTTCAACTTTTAGATGAAGTTTACAATGAGGCTCCTTTAAGTATGCAATGCAATATGTCTAATGGCGACAGATTTCCCGGATACTGGGAAAATTCACATATTCCTCCAATAATTACCTCTTTAGCTCCACCTTCAAGAAAGTGTGAAGCAATTAGAGAATAAAAAAAAAGTTATAAAGTTGAAAAAAATGTTCTAGTATTAAATAAAAGATACTACGATTAAAAGATGGATAATACTAATTTTATTTAAATCTAATACCTTTATTTAGTTTATTTCATTGATATGGAATAAAGAGGAGATGCTATGACGAAACTAAAAGTGTCCGCACTTTCGCTTCCACTTTTACGCCATTATGCCAGGCGCCGGAACTCAAAAATTGCTTTGGGTGCTCAGCCTCTATGCCTCTATGGGGACTCCCACTCCACATCCCACCTAGGGTCACCACCGGTTTTTTAAAAGCACTTTAAAAGCCAGTATAAAGCATTGATTTTATGAAAATTTTTTTGAAAAAAAAAGGTATTGTCAAATGTCGAATTGCTGGAGTTTTGAGGATTGAAGCGGCAGACGGGAGTATCACCAATCGGTAGGCTGGAGGCTCTCGTCTAAATCGGGATATCTGGCAACCATATATGCTCTGTGCAGCCACCACTGGTATTCAGTGGTGCTGTGGTGCTAGAGTACCAATGAAATAAGTAAAACATTTATCAACTATCATTAATTTGGAAGTAGATTTTTGATGATATATTAATACACATATATAATGGAGTATTGTATATATACTGGGTGTCCATTTGAAAACGAAACAACGCTAATTTTGGGCACCCCAGGTCATTTACGAAAAAACACTCAGGGCCGTCAATTTTTGATTTTAATGGAAAACATTTTTTTGCCAGTTTCACCCCCTGAACGGAAACCCTCTAGCGGGGGTCAAACCTCTAAAATCTTAAATGGAAAGAGGGCTCGAATGATATCTTATTTTCAAGGTATTTTTACCTAGATTATAACCCCCGAGCTTCAAATCGCTACTGTCTTTCTAGCCATAATCTTTTAACGATTTTTATTTTCTCTAAATGCTTCTAAATGTTGGAAATGCTGACCCTGGGCCTCTATGCAATAATAGAGGTTTTGTTCAAAACGCTCTCGGATATGATGCAGCTTCTGTGTGGGGCGATTTGATGACATTCATCAATTATTCGTTATCGCAGATTTTCCAGTGGCATAAATTTTAGTTTTTAAGTGGCCTCAAAAAATCGACCGGGGTTAGATCCGGATACCGTGGGGGCTACTCAATAATTCCTCTTCTTCTGATCCATTGACCTGGAATCGTTTTATCCAAATACTGACGAACGGTCAGTGTAAAATAGGATGGCGCACCATCTTGCTGGAATATTAAGTTGTTTGCTATGTACTATGTACTGATCGTCATTCTCAATGCTGTATAAATGACCTTTTCTAATAATTCCAGATTCATTTCTACGGTTAAAGTTCCAGATAAAAAAGGGGCCAATTATACGGTTACCAAAAATGCCTAGCTCAAACATTCAGTTTTTCCGGATGTTGCGTATGCGTATCCACAGTTGTGACGATTTACCGTACCATTTAGAAAAAAAAGTGCATTTGTCAGAAAAACAAAACTTTGAGAAGAAATAGATGATTTCAACGGAAGACATCTTGAAGTTGCAAGGCACATACTTTGATTTTCTTTTACTATGCGGAGAATGGTCGCACTGCGCAGCTTTCTGAGTGCCTTTTAAAGGGAGATAGAAAACTCCGCCATTTTGAACCCTTATTACGTGTTGCCTACATCTTGGCGCAATATTTTTAATAGGTGCGTTTTAATCATCCGCTTCTGCTTCGGAATTGTCGGTTTTCTTGTTTTAATCTGACAGGTTAAAATGACTAAACCGACAATTCCGAAAGCAGAAGCGGATGATTAAAACGCACCTGATATTTTGCTTGCTGCTGTCACTGTCAGTGAATATTATTTTTGAAGTCACAGTTTATTGCTAAAGAATCAGTTAGCTGACTCGGACCAGTTGAAAGTTCCAAAATAACATCCACTCCAGGAATACAAATTCAGGATACGCAAAAGACTGCTGTTTTATTATAGGCGGTTGTCATATATTGTATTATCCGAGTTGCACAGTGTATAAACTGAAACATTGAGATCAAAAGTGCCGACGCAGAGTGAGCGATCTAATTCTTTAGCTGTAAACTGTGTCACAGGGTTCAAAATGGCCGCGCCCTATGTTGGGCGTGTCGGAACTCTCTCTTGCCTCGTATAGTAATCAAAGTATGTGTTGCAAGGTCATTGGAAGATCTTTGCGACATCTATAAGTTTACATAACAACTAATAAAATAAAAAAGAAAACTGTAAATTATTATTTTGGCAATCTATTTAAGGTTACGGCGTCGGTATTCATTTTTTTCTTTGTCTTCTTCATTAGTTGTATGTGCTCAGTTTTTCACCATCTCTATCTACTTTGTGCCAGGGGTTTAATTTTTGAAACCATTCGCTAAAAGTAGTATGCGTCAATTGGCGCATGACATTTATCGCATGCGTCAAGGAAGGTATATTTTTGAATGCTCTTCGATAAATATTTTGCGAACAAATCAACCTAACGAAGAGTTGTAGATTATTTCAGCAAAATTCGATAATCTACCAATAGAAACCTAGTATGAAACTGCTTTACCGAGATGGATAAACGGCATGTCATTGCAAAACCTATTAAATGTCTATTCGCAAGTGACGTCAATTTCGCATGCGAAAACGAAAGTCAAAAATACAGTTTTGGTAAAAGTATACGTTTTCGCATACGTCAGGTGGCGAATGATTTCAAAAATTAACCCCCAGTTCCCAGAGTCTTCTTTTTCTTAGTCATGTGTCATTTCAAAATTTGTAAAAACAAAACAAATTGAGGTTACAATCTCTGGTTTTGTTTTTGAATTATTTTTCAAAATACTAGCTTAGAAACAAAAAGAAAATGATGAAAAGTAAAGTTAAAAGGTAGGTGTGCATCTTTTGTTTACTACTTTAAATTTCAAAGCGAATAGATGTATTTATCATTGTTGGGTAATGCAGCCGACACCCATTAAAAAAGGTTTTAATTTAACAAAAATCAGCTATAGCGCGCTTAGCAAGACATGTAGATCTAGATTCCAGATCTTGGCGATAGTGAGAGTGAAAACTGAACTGAGGAAGAAGGCAAGAAAAAAAGAAGAAATTTATGCTGACGCGGCACTCTGAGGACGCCGCCGTAACTTTAGACAGAGTGGCAAAATAATAATTTAGTTTTCTTTTTTATTTTATTAGTTGTTATGTAAACTTATAGATGGCGCAAAGATCTTCCAATGACCTTGCAACTTCAAGATTTCCGTTGAAATCATCTATTGCTTATCATTTATTGCCCGTTCAGTCATAATTTCACAAAATTGTAATCGCCTATCAAAATCGTGTTTGTTAAGTTCTTATACCAGATGTATATTGTAGAGACGAAACTTGTGTTTTTTCAATATCCTCTGAATGCTGCTTCCCTTAATACAAGATCGTATAGCCAACTGTATTGTACTCAATGTGGGTTCTTAAACAACATGCCCTAAAATAACCACCTCTGTAGCTTCATTTACTACAGCATTTTCTGTTCCACGTTATTTGTTAGCTACTAGAGGTGGGAAGTTCGAATCTTTTTACTGAATTAATTCATTTGATTCATTCACCTAAAAAGATTCGTTCTTCAAGATTCGTTCTCAAGTGATTCACTTTAGCGAACCACGAACGATGTTATTCCGCCGATCCGGCGAAGGAAATCGAACCGAACTTTTACGAATTTGAGTACTACCTAACCTACCTACCTACTAGGTCGTTGAGTAAAATAATTATAACCAGAATTATTTTAAAGTAAAGCAAATTAATGTTTCATATTTCATAAAAAAAAAGGCAGCTGAATAATAAATACATCCTTGTCCGTTAAGATAAACAACAATAACACAATTTTTTTTAAATGCCAAATATATAGCCAAAATTAACTCAAAATTATATATTCACGATTCGTCATTTTTTGTTTTAATTTTACTTTGATTTAAATTTATTTATCAGACAACACGCATAAATTGTTTACCTAAGCTTAATACACACCTCCTGTAAAGTGAGAAAAACATTAAAGACACATACGCCACCGCCTGTCAGTTAGAGTTCTCGTATTATGCCGTAGAACGTAGAACAAAAGCGACCAATTTGCCGATGCCGATGTAAAATACCAAATACCGAATCCGAATCGAATGAACGAAGCAACCAAACTCGGAACTCGGCGTGTTTGATCGATCGCAGAGCCATCGAGCAATTGACTCAAAAAAGATTCGAATCTTTTAAAAACAGGGAATCAATTTATTCGAGTCAGTGCACTGATTCGTTCTTTTTGAACGAATCGTTCGCGAACGACACACCTCTATTAGCTACTGACCCCGTTTCCCAAAATTTTTGTATTAACTCCAAAATATACTTTCGAAAAAATTTTCGATTTTAATGTTGATTATTAAACAGTTGGGCAGTTCTATTAGCACATTCTTTGTTCGCAAAAAAAGTGAAATTATTTGCACCCTCTCAGCAGTTGAGTAAACCATTATCACTGATATGCCACTTTTATGCCGACTCTACAACGAAATAAACTAAACCTTACAAATTTACGGCGACCAAAGAATGTCATCTGATACAATAATTGAAGGCCACAGGAATAAAACTAATTTTGTTACAAAAAAATTCCTTTTTTTTTTTAATAACAATGTAAAAATTATGTTAAACCGGTTTTGTACTTTTGATGAACCACTGTATGCGCTAAGTAGATAGTCGCGATGTAAAACTCGGAGGTTATAATCTATGTAAAAATGCCTTCAAAATAAGATATCATACGACCCCTCTTTCCATTTAAGATTTAGAGGGTTTCCGTTTAGGGAGTGAAACAGCCAAAAAAATGTTTCCCCCTAAAATCAAAAAGTGATGGGTCCGAGCGATTTTTAGTAAATGGCCTAAATTACTCGCAAGCACTACTAGAGAGCTATTAAGTGAACGTGCTTTTTTAATGGTGCTTGATCTGGAGCAACTTCCAAATGTTCTCCCTTCTCCCCTCAAGCATTTGCTCGATAGCATGTACAGAGTTCTTGTCTTGATAATTGTAGATTGTTATTAGTCGTTAGTCGTTATTTTTTGAAGTCATAATGTTTTATACACCAAGA